AGACTTTAAATCCCACTGGAGAAGTCAGCATGATGAACCACATCAGCCAGGCAGGCAAAGTTCCCTTACAATTAGAAAGTACAAATAGCAACATCAAAAGTCACAGCCCACGTGGATAAATTACAGAATAATGACCCACATCACACACATTTAGGAAACCCCTCCACACTTGAACAAAAAACCCATCTTCAAACACTGACATGACGTAAGGAAAGCAATGTTCTAACACTCTTCATAACACCACAGTTAAAGACTGTGGCAATGCATCAATCTAAGTTTGGAGAGGCCCAAAACACAGATTTGTTTTGGATCTTCCCAAGTGTTGCTGAGGTGCAGTTCAAGTCATGGTTTCAAAACCCATCCTGGCACTGAGAGGCCACAAAAGGGAAACTGGAGCTAATGCAGAAGTGCTCTGGAGCCTTTGCTCTTCTCCTGCGCTGCTTGCTCTTTGGGATCACTTTTGGTTTGGATTAAGGAATGATGCTATGCCATACAGTACACAGCTTCTCATGAGGGGTTTACTTTCTTTTCCCCAGTAATCGGCTGCCTCTTAATGAACTTGCCTCGAAATTAAAGAATTCTTATTAAGAGGTGGACCCAAGCTGGGGACACAAACATACTCCAATCTTGGCATTGAAGTCTGACTCCTACTCTGAAAAATGCCTGCAAGCTCTGCTCCAGCTGTGTTGTGTACAGTGTGCTGACACCTCATGGCCAAGCAAGTAATTCAGATAAGACATTTCCCAGGAGATATATATATATAATATATCACATAAATTCTCCATCTGCTATAAGGCAAGAAACGAGGTTCATTTATCAAGAAGTTCGTAATGAATAGATCTGAATATACCAAAGATAGGAGAGAAAACCAGTCCAGAAATGCTTCAAATTCTTGAATTACAAACAGATGGGTATGCCAGGGTCCGCTATTCATATCTGTGGTAGTCTGAGCTTCCTTGACACTGAAGGATGGCTCTAATGCACTTCTTCAACAGCATGGCCTGTGTAGTGAACCATACGCGGCAAACCTTGTGGTCTCATGCCTGGAAAGAGCGTCCGTGTCGGGGCTGCTTGTTACCCAGCTCTCCCCTCCTCCATGGGGTTCTCCCAAGGGCAGATCACCTCCTTTGCAGAGTCCTTACAAGCTCGGTGGCGGTTGTCCTCTCCTTCCTCAGAGTCTATGGGGTAGATTCGGCTCTCCAAAGGAGCATCCATTTTTATTTGGAAGAAGCTGTGCTGTGAAATAAAAACTCATCACGCATACAGCACTTTTTGATGTGCCCTCTGAGACACCGAAGATGCAGCACAGAGTCTGGCTTTGCATTTTCCACTGTTCAAACCCCAAATCCCAAAGCAAAACTCCCGGGCAGAAGCCCACAGAGATGGAAAAGGAAGGAAATGTGCACTCCCACCCCCTCGAAGCAAAACTGCGCAGCCAGAGCACAGAGCCAGGTGGAGAAGGAGCCCTCAGATTTGTGCTTTTGAATTTATAATGTGGACTCATCCACTCGGTCAGCAGCGGAGGTGGATTAAAAGAGGTTGAGGACACGTTACTTTTAGTGAGGGACATGGCCAGGATTTGGTTTCGACAGTGACAGCCTCTCCAGGCAAAAAAATCCCCATTCTTACACATCGTGCTCCGGATTGACAAACGTTTCGTGACTCTCCCTCAAGATTTCTCCTCCCTTGTTACTTGTGGGTCTCCTTTGCCTTTCAAATCATTAAACGAAACCTGAACCAACGCTCGAGAACAAACACAAATATACAAATGGTTTTCCAAATTCAAGGATCAAAAGTAAAACCTGGGGGCTTTACACCACGAACAGGAGGCGTAAGCGCAGCAGGGATGAACCGCCGGCACAGCCTCTTGCCCGTTTCTCATCAGAAAACACGTCTAACACAGAAAGCAAGCACAAGGAGCTAAGGGGAAGGAGATGCTTTTAGAGGCCTGGCTGTGATTTTGGGCAGGCAGCACAAATGCCAGCGGTGGGTTTTGGATGCAATTGCAAGAAAGGCAACCGAGGCTTGCAGGGGCTATACGGGGTCCCTACCCCAAAGTACCCCAATGCCTCGCTGTCTTTGCTGGTGCAAAGACCTTGAGCTTTGCCTCCAAAGCCAACGAAAATAACCGAATAGGACAAAGTTCTCCTGGCATGGGGCAGCAAGGCCCCGTCAGGAGAAGAAGCCCTCTCCTCCTTTGGAGGAGAAAGGCTGGGTGCCAGCGGTGCTGCCAGGAGAGACAGGGCTCAGCTCGGAGACAGCCGACGGCCACCCCAGCCAAACCTGGGATGGTGTCCCCCTCTCTGGCAGCTCCATCCCTTTCCCTGCCCTCCCACAGCGGGAGAGGGGAGGTGTCACAATTTGCCCGTGGAAAGCAACAGGGTCATCGCTACCAGCCTCAGCGGGTGCTGACAGATCTGGCCCCACGCCCGCTGGGATGTTGTAGGAAACACCAGCTTGTCTCATTCCTTACAACGATTAGCTGCAGGCATGGAGGAGTCCGTTATCCCGAGAATGTGATCTTGGTTATGAGCGGCAGAACCATGTCACACCCAAAGCACCAATGTGCTGGCTGCTGTGGTGGCCAAGAAATAGGACACTGAGCTGTAAAACCCTGATGACTGATCATACAAGAAGCCACATCTTGTGCTGAAGCCCCCAGTGTCCCTGGCTGGTGCTGTGAAGTCTCCAGCTCAGCTAATTCAGCCCTCAGGACAAGCCCAAGCACACAGATTCATCAGCAGAGGACATGCCGCATGCCAGTGTCCACCCCCCCCGCCGTTTCCCGAGGACTCACTCCCGGCAGAAATGAAATGCAGCTCAAGTGTCCAGAGAGAAGTGCTGAGAGCAGAGGCACATACAGAAAATGCTTGCACGTGTGGCAGAGAGATGACACAGCGAAGGAGGAACACACTGAGACAAGACAGAGAAGGATGAACTCGGTTCTTTTTTCATTTTCTACATTTATTTTATTAGACAGATGAATGCATGGAAGCGATGGCCAAGAAATGAAACAACATATTGCTCTGATTTCCAGTGGAAGCAAACAACTTCTTGGCTGGCGCAAAGTGAAGTTCAGTTTGTACCATGGTCACACTTTGTACCAGGCGACCTTCCTCTTCAGGGACTGAACAGCAAGGGACCGAGGAGCGGTACACTGGGTCATGCCAGCTTATTCAGCCTCTAAGCAGAACAGAGCCAGCTTCTGCCTGCAAGTGTAGGACTGGTGTTTCACAAGCACAGTGATTCCAGAGCATGCAGCATTAACCCATGTCGGGGGACAGCGAGGCAAAGCTGAGATGATGAAAAATCAGAGAAAGGAATGGATAGAGAAAACATGAAAAGCAAAGCTGCAGACAAAATAGAAGTAGAATCAGAGGGACTGACTGGAACACACAGATTTGTTATTTATTATTTATACCCTGACTTGATCTTCCACATGTTACTACATACTGGCAATCCCAACATGCTCAGTGCTCCATGTTATACAAACTCTGAAGAGACTGTAGAGCTCATCGCATCCAAGTAGCTTTGGACCAACCCTGCCAAGTTCTTGAGTATCTTTCAGTGCTCTTATGTCAAGGTAGGTTGACAGTGCTTAGTACCTGATGTAAAAAAAGCCTTGTGGTTTTAAGCAGAATTAACAAAAAAAATTACTGTCTCAGCCTGCCTACCCTTACAGCATTGCAAATTTTGCCATTGCTTCCACTGGGAATAAGAGCAGAGACTTAGCAAGCAGACCTTGACATCAGAGCAAAAGACTCATGTAACTTGGTTTCAATTCCTCTAAGAAGGTTTATCACCATTAGGTTAACGCAGGTCATGAAAATCTCCCTAGCTCAGCAGCAAAGCGAAGGAGACTAGTTCTGCAGTGATACCAGATCGGACCACATAGCCCTTATTCTGATAACACACACAGGGAGGGCAAGAATTGCTGTTCAAAGCTGTTCGGGACACAGCTATCGCCTGACTATCTCCCTGTTCACAAGGCACTGGTCTGCATGCACCCTGGTACCTGAGGGCTCCCACCCACATCCAGCTTCCTCCAGCTCCCATTTCCTGTAAAATCATGCCAGTAGTAAAAACAGATGAATAATATGCACCGAAGCGAAGAAACGTCCTGGACCTCAGTGCTTCCCACCCAGTCCCTCTGCTTCCCCTAAATTTTATCTAATAAGGAAGCTTTTCTGCCCCCTCAATTCCCTTTACTGGACTTTGCAGGAATCTTCCCACTTCTGGTAATCATTGGCCTGGTCCAGACACGCTGGGGTTTCCCAGCAAAGCCTGGAATCTCCCTGACTCTTTAGCACTACCATAGTATTTTAGGTTGCCTCATTCTAAAGAGCAAAAGAGACAGAGCAAATGGAAAAAAAAACAAAAAAACAAAAAAACAACAAAACAAACCACTACTTAAAAGTTGAAATCAGCACTTAACACCTCTACCCTGGTTCTTCCTTGACTCTGGGCTACAAGCCAGTGACAACTGGAACTACCTCCTGTTAGTTTTTTTTAACAACAGAAAATAGAAAAGCAGGAAAAAGACAAGACAAGAGGTAGGAAGGATTTGATAAGAGAAACACAAAGCCACGGCTGCATCTTGCAAGCCCTCCTGCAGGCTCTTGCGAGAGACGGCTCCCTATACCTGCACACCTAGCCCATCGTGAGTCACGGGGGAGAGCAGAGCTTTCCAACCATCACCTCCAACGTGCTGGGGGGCGACTTGGGAGTGCTATTAAAATTCAGAGGGTCAACTAAACCTTCAGAAATGCTCATCCTACCGTTCTCACAAGAAGTCTACCCCCCTCTTCTGCCTGTGGCTCTGTTGCACGGGCTAGGAGGTGCAGGATACTTGAAGCGAGGGGTGCAGTCCTCTCAGGGGGCGCCCAGGATGCACCCCTTGGGAGGGTGCGCGTCCCCCGAGGGGTTGGACGCACTCTGAGGTGGGCCACCTCGCCCTGCTCCCTGAGGGGTCATCCACCTCTGCTCCAAAGGCAGCTGATTTGAACCCAAAGGATTGGGACGGCAGAGCTTTACTCTGCCTTGTGCCATCCCACCTCCTGGAGGAGCAGGAGGCAGGGAGAGGCGGCCGGGTTGCCCAACCTCCGGGGGGAGCTCAGGGCAGCCATTCGGCGTCCCCCCCGCCTCCGAGGTGTGCGGGGAGGGAGCCGAGGCACTGCACCCCAAGTCCGTTACAGCCATCGGCGTGGCTCCGCCAGCACTCCCATGCCTGACATGCCTGGGAAATGACATCTACAGCTCCAGAAACCAAGGCAAGATGCAGGAAAAGCAGGCTGTTGGCAGAGCCGGCCTGGGAAACCTAAAGCAGCACTGACACCTTCAGGAAGGGGAGACGAAGCTCAACACCAGCCTCGGCTTGTCTTTTCCCTGCGCTGTGACCTGCGAGGCTCAGAGCCTACTTGGGAGGTTCCTTCGGGAGCTGGCTCCTGCGATCCAGCTTGCTCATGACCTGCGTGATGTCCACGGTCGCGGCGGCTTCTTTGGCTTTGGCCTCTTCTTCCTGCTGCCTCAGGACAATGGGGCTGGGGCTAGAGCGGAGGTGACGGCGTCCGAATGGGAAATTGGAGCTGGGCAGAGAGTGAGAGGAAGAAGCAGGGTGTTACTGAAAAGTAGAAGGGCACCGAAAACTCGCCCCTGGTAAGCAAATTTACCAGGAGGGCAAGCTCAGACATAGAGGCGGACGTGCCACTGTCACCCGCACAACAACAAGGAAACACAAATGCAGACGAGGTGGTTTAAAGCAGGACTCAGTGTCACACATCAGCTACAGAACTGCTAAAAGTGTAAAGTCAGTCCTGTTCCTGGTCCTCGTGAGGGACTCCAGGGCCAGGAGATGACCAGTACATTACTCCTTTTTTTACAAGCATTTGCACGTAACTAACACTCAGTGTGAACCCAGACAACTGGCATCAGTGGAATTTTTTCTAGTGCCCTCAGTAAGATCAAGATAGGGACCAGTATGGGTGTTTCTGGTGTCTGTGACACCCCCAAAAAGCACCCACTACCTGCTTCAGCAAAGCCATTACCAGCAGCAGTGGAAACAAGTATTAAGCCACCTCTGGATGAGGTACTAGCTCTTTAGCTTACCCAGGATGCTGAGTATTGTGTCTCTGGAACAGGCACTGACAAACATGAAAGTAGTCACCAGGGGTCAACCAGCATCTGCCAGTGACCTTGTGATGTGTGGCTCAGGGAAAATCTAACCAAACCCTGGGCAAGTCAGCAGGAAGGTTTTTTCCACTGACTTGAAAAAGGCTTTAGATGAAACAATAGTGTGAAAGTCCATGATTCCTCTTTCTTGCTTGCTAGGTTGATGAGTGGAAGAGGAACAGAGAAAGAAGCACACCACCCAGTCTGGCTCTGACCTTGCATGCTCAGCTTTAAGAAGCAACTGCAGTTCAAATGGCCTAAATTTGCTACGCAACCTTCATCTTGGTCTGGAGAAAGCCATTTCAAGCCTGCCTCTTCTAAGGCCATCTACCTTGTGCCAGCAGTCACTCACAAGTAAGATGCTGTTTGTTCCCATGTGGCTGCCTGTCACCTTCACTTTGCAGGGGCTACGCGGCTCTGTCCAGGTAGGGCTGAGCAGAATCCATAGAGGACCCTGCAGTGGCTCTGTATCTCCTCTGGTAGCCAATGTTTCGTGGGAGGGAGTTTTCCCATGGCCTGTACACAGTGCTCTCTCCTTCCAGGACAGGAGCCGTGATTAGTTCAACAATCACGGCCTTTCTAAACAGACCCAACAGACAAGGCAGCCAAGCAATCGTCAACTCGATTCTGACTACACACAAGCCACTTCCAAAAGGCTCACAAATAAACAGCACAATCAGTCTCATAGCAAAGCATCTTTTTAGTGAAAAACTTTATTTAATTGAGTGAACATCTAAATCATAGTAATTTTGCTGCAGCTCAGGCTTTTTCTACCCTTGCTACAACAAGAAAAACAAAACCCACAATTACACCCAGTTTCACTTGCCTTTTTTTGACAGTCTCTTGTGGCACAACAGCCTTGGCCAGCATTTCCTTGTATACTGGAGACTTTAAATAGCGGCCATAGGAGTCCTACTAGGAAGAAAAAAGAGAAACTGGTAGTTATGGGCTGCAAACACCCTTATTAAAATCACCACCAAATACAGCGGCTCAGGAGCCAGGGAGGCTGGGAACTAGATAATCTCCCCCAGCAGCCCAAGGGACTTCGCATCTTTCAGGCAAATGTAGCCATTTAAACAAACAGCCTTCCATCTTGGTGTAAAATTCCCAGGATTTTCCATCTCACAATAAAGCTTCCCAGGTAAGATCCAGACCAAAAGGTCTGAACTGAGCTTAGCCCAGGCCAGTGGAGTCTCACAGACATTGCAGGGTGAAGTGCTCATTTCAGGAGCCGAACTTTTCAACAACTGGTGAAAATCAGTATAGTTCTGCTGCTTTCAGTGTCAATGTGCATTAGCTACTGCTCTGGCCCACAACGCTCCTTCCTGCTATGTGTATTTTGTATTGCTCATAAGGAGGAGTTACAAGTTTTTGTAGTCACCATGATCTAATGAAAGCCACGACATATTGTGTGCTGACATCAGCCCGCAGCCTGCTGCATCAGTTAGACATAAAAAAAACGGTGTCCATCAACATAACCACAGAAAAATGTGCGAAAAAACTCAGTAAGACTTCAGATGGGCCATGTCTGGTTATGCTCTTGGTACTAAACTCATGCAGTTATATCACAATTACTACTACCTTTCCCATCCACTGCTGAAATCCGGTTGGATACAAGCATCCCACTATAGGGATACCTGATGTGGCACACAGAGTGGTACTGAGTGAATTTAAAAGATTTGCTCAAGCTTTGAATGAGTTGATGACCAAGCTGGTATTAGAAAGCAGGACTTCCAGCAGACACCTGACCTCCACACCTTGGGGACATGCTGCCTTAGAGGGAAGAAGCAGCAGCAAAATACAAAGGCCTGAACCAATGCTTGCTTAAGTCAGCAAATTCGAGGGATTTTCAAACAAAGGCCACTTGAAAGTGACAGCTGATAGCACACAAAGGCATGGAAAGGCCCAGAGAACTGGAATCCCCCTAAGGCTTTGGAAACAAATAACAAACCTTTTTCATCAGCATGTAAATGTGGGTCTGAGCAGCATCTAAAACATAACGATGAGGGTGCTTGAGGCCTTTGACTGTGATACCCATTGTTGTGCCATCAATGTTAATCCAGCGCCTTGCTCCTGGAGCCAGGAAGAGCCTGCAAGGAGGAGGAATCAACAGTGCCATTAACAACTGGAGAATTCCTGGAGATTCCTCTGTCTGTGCATGAAAGGAAAAGTCCCTTCAGGTCTCCACTACAATTTGCTGTCCTGATCTCGGGCAGTCAATCTCCTCTTCAACTGTATGACATGCAGACACTTCCTCTTGCACTGTTAACACACAATATAAACCAAATTTTAGCCCACTGGAAGCAAAAAGGGTCTCTCCACTCTCCTCATGGCAGCCCCAAGATCTTTGCTATCCCACACCTCTATTTAAAATACATGCTAAGCCCTAAATGTAATAGTGGAGAACAGAGAGGAAAAGTAACTATATAACAAAAAAATACTTATGCTTTCATCTTCAAAAGCTCCTTTCCTACATGGGGACAGCCACATTTGATGACAGCGTACAAAAAAAAGTCAGTCTCAGGAATAAATCTTTTGGAGAATGACAATGTGTGGAAGAAGGTGATGGGACTTGTACAAAAAGTTTTAAGAATGTAAAATTATCACACTCACTTGTAAATTTCTTCTGCTTTTTCTTTGACCTTGGATTGGTCTCCATACTTGAGATCCTCACAGGCTTCCCAGAAACTCAGATTCTCTCCTGCATAATAAGGAGTCAGCAGTGAGGGAGACTGAGGAAAAAGCAATCCCGTTTATTAACTCCTAAACTGAATTCGTTTGACTTGGTACGTGTTCGCCCCAATTCAGACTCTCCAATTCTTACAGCCACCTTGAAAATCCCCTTGGGACTGAAAGAAGAAAACAGCTTTCCCCTGTCCTCTGCTCACTGACACCTGTTAAGAGCTTGTGAATTCAGCCGGCTCCAGCTTGCCTGGGAGCCGTCCCCCTGCACAGGGAGTGCCCTGGACTGTATTTTGTGTCCTGTGCCACTAGATGGTATTGCATGCACTGGCTGCACAGCCATTGCCTCCAAAGTCACTTCTACTACCTTTACTTGGTGACTTTGTCATTGTCTCAGCTCACAGCACCTACTGCAAAGGCATGGATTTCCAGCCCTGCTCTGTCTCAGCTGTGCAGCGTCCTGCTGTGTGCCCTAGGCAGGGACAAAGGTAGAGGCACAACAGACCCACCACTGAACTCCTTCTTCAGGAAGAGCTGGAAGTTCTGCCGGCCTTTTGGGTCCCGCATCAGCTCACTGAAATTGAAGGCCCATCGCTCCACACGCATTTTGGTGGGGACTTCCACTCTGCACAGGTTGAAAACAAACAGGGCTGCCAGTTTCATGTGGCCCATCTAATTGGCAGATTAATTAAAACCAAAATGCCCTTTGCTAGAATGCCAAGAGACTTCTCATTACAGCATTCTGGAAAACACAGAGTGCTGAGCTCCTAAAGTCAGCCCACTAAGTAAGCCGTAATTAAACAACTTGGTACGCGGTGGGATGAGGATTTATCTCGGATTTATACTGCTCTCACAGTGATGGCCCAGCTTTGCGAGAGGTTTGACTCGGTCCTGTTCTGGAGGAGGCACTGGTTGTTGCCCAAAGCTTTGCTTCTTGTAAAGGCATTCTGTGAAGGTATCCTTTGGGGCTGTCTAATGGGATATTATCACTCTAACAGGATTGCTGGTCTCAAATGAGAGCCAGTAATATGTTGTATGCTTCAAGCCCAGAGATGCCACTGTATAATTAGCAAATACTATCTGAATGGAAAACCAAGGGAGACCTCAGAGAAGGGATGGACTGCCAGTATGTGCCTTCAACCCAAACCCTCTCCAAAGAAAGCAGCCTGAGGTGTGTGGATTAAGACCAAGGGCCAGTAGCTGAACCCTGAATTGCTACACCATTGGCAGCACCTGATTTAGCAAGTTTAACGCTAAACCAAGTGCTATACCTGGCATAACTGCTCATATTCCATTCCTGTGCTTGTAAAAGTGGACTTCACTCAGCCAAGAGCAGGATTAGGCCTGTTCAGCAGGGGCTGAGTGCATACTCTCATCATCAGCTTAGCAACTTCTGTAATGTTAAGGAAAGCTCCGCTTGAAGAAGAAAATGCTGCAAGTTCAGCGTGGAGTATTCCCAAGAGACAGTTTCTTTAGCATGGCCAAGCTGTGTCAGAAAGGGAACGCTTCCCTGCTCACAATCAGAGACCAGATATCATGACGAAATCAATGGTTCCCTTTTCTGATTTCTATCAGCATAAAAGTCAGTGTAAACCACAAGCTGGCAAGAGAATATAAATACATACAGTTTTGCATTGAGATCCCAGAACTCAGGGTCATCTGTTACCCACGGGTTGCTGGGGAGACATCCAGACAGGATGGGATCATTGGAGAGGAACTGCTCAGAGTACTTCACAAGCCTGCAAGTAAATCCAATAAAACCAAAATATTAATTTGCAAGCAGAATTGAAGCCACCCCCATTACAAACAAATAAATGGTTGTATAGACTATAGATATATACAGAGGTGCAGCCCTACCAGCATGGGGATCTGGAATGTGGCCCCTGCATCACTAGAAAAATTGATTCATTAGCTCAGTTAATCTCTTCCATTTCCCAAACAGCAATATCCTGGCTGTCTTTCAAAGCAGTGATTTTGCCAGCTCAAGTGCAGGGAGATAGAAGACTCTCTTCCATCACCTTCTTTTGCCTCTTCATTTCAAGGAAGTGGGAATAAGCCCCCAAACGGCTTCCGTCTCCTTCTCCAGCCAACTGGCAGAGGCCTGATCCTGCACTGTTCTGTGCCACACATTACAGAGAGGAAAGGGCCAGAGAAGAGAAAAGCAGGTGCTTTATTCGCTCAGGGTGGGTTCTCCGCAGCCTTCCCATGGGGTGTGGGAGAGCCCAGGGAGCTCCGTGAGAGGTGAGGGAGTGCTGAGGGCACATCCCGGCTTCTCCTTTCCTACGCTCACCTACCGCATGGCTCATTCCTCTGCAAATAACTCTGAGGGCTTGGCACAAAGCAAAAATGTCTCTATCCCAGCAGGAACCAGACAAACACTTCTCCTACCTTCTAAGTTGGCCAGACTTGTAATTACAACCGATTTCACTAATGTCCTGGAATTTTAGCTTTCTCCTCCCTTTTTCATTCTTGAAAAAATGATCTGGTTTCTGCATTTAAAATTCCTTCCAGGCCAAACTGCTTTCATGTGCTCAAAGCTGGGAGTGCACTGTCCAAGGGCCCATTGCTAACAGCCACATTGGCATAGATCCTGCAATTATACAATGCTACTGCACAAAGCATACCACAGGTTTGGCACAGAAGTGCTCGATCCTATCTTCTCACTGGAAATGCCAAGGCATTCAGCACCTGCATAATTCACTCCAATCCATATATTCTAATCAAGCTACAAATCTAAACCTGTCAACTCAGGTAACGTTGCTCTGTCCTTTTAATGATTAATGCTTTGAAGCACCTCCTAAATCAATGCCATGCTCTGATGCACGCACGCTATCTAGTTGCTGCTCACATCCTCATCAATAATAATTTGATTTGGACCCAACCCCGCAGCTGAGATGGAGATCCAAATTTCCTGAGGATTTTTTGATCTAGGTGATAGGCATTATCCCACCAGAAGACTAGAACTAGTGAGTGAAAAGCTCCATTGCCAAACACTTAAGCACCACAAAATTCCTGGAAGGTAGCCAGGTGTCCCCAGCTCCAGCTCAGTTTGGAAAATTGAGGCAGGAGAGTTTTAAGTGACCTGGGAGTCAGTGACAGATGAAATGAGTAGAACTGCTGGTGCCTTGCAAGTTGTGGTTCTCAGAAGACAACACTGCTTCCCAGACTCTTCCTCCCATTTCATTCATCCACAACTGTCTTCTCCCAGGGAACAGGCCTGAGCACCTTGTTTATTTTAGATTCGATATGAATCTCTGGGTGGCAATGACTATGTAAAACAGACTGGTGGTATGAACTGCACCTCTAGGCAACTGGCCAGCACCTAAGATTCCAGGTAAGAAATGCCTGTGGCAAACACGCTAATGGCTAATGCTAGAACTGGAAGCTTTGCACTTAATCAGCTTCATCAAGAATCTGATCAGGAAACACTCCCCCTGAGAAGAGGAATTGCTAATTAATTGCTTGGACATTCATGGAGGCATGTGTTCCTCTGTAATACAGAATAACCAGAGACTTCCCCAGCTCTGCTGCCTTCTGGTGAGCATCACCCTATGAGCAAGAAGACTCACTGGGGCTGAATCCAGCCCAGCAGGCTGGGGACCAGGGACAGGAGGGTCAGTCTGTCTCCAGTGGTTACTCATCCCACACAGGAACAGGCACAGGACTCAGACACTGCTGCATCCTCACAAGGCAGCCTCCACGCAGCTGCCTTTCCAGACTGCAGAGCTGTGCTGAGTCCCAGGCATCACAGCCCAGCCCTGAGCAGTCTGAACATCTCTTGATTTCAGAAGGAATGTCAACCAAGAGTCTGGAACTGCTCTGCAGACATTCACAGCAAAGCTCTCCTTAGCTCCAAGGGAGCCTCTTCATCATGACTGGGACTCTGATCCCACCTCTGCCTTGTGCCTCCTGGCCCAGGCAACACACAGCTCAGACAGCACAAACAACACTGCGTGTGGCCACCACATCGATTCCCCTGACTGAGTCACCAGCTGCCAGAACAGATAGCTGCATCATCTCATTCAGAGATAAGCGCTGAAGACTAATTAATGTGTGGACAGAAGGAAATCAGGACTTACCCTCCGAGAGAGACAGAAGATTTCACTCTCGACTTCATGATGGCCTGCTGACAGTACATGATCTGAGAGGGATCAGACATGTCCATGGTTAGGAGCATGGAGATGTGAAGACAAAGCCGTCTCCTTCTGAACCTCAAACATGCCCTCTCCCAAGTAGCGAGGCTAACTACAACAGGGACTGCTTCTTCCCTAATTACTGGATGTCCAAGGAATTAGAGAATCCCTAAACTGTCTTAGTAAAATGGCTGTTTTCACTGAGCTTATTGTAAATGTCAGAAGAGCATTTTGCAATGTGCAAGTAATTAAAAAGCACTCCCCATGCTATATAAAAATTGGATAATAGCTACCATTCTAGGCACCTACAAATGCTCTGGATGATTTAGCATGTAATTATCATTGATCCTTGGCTGTCTCTACACTGGCGCCACTGGATGTATCTCCTATGATTTCCCCACCACTAATTTTGATCTATTAGATTTTAGCCCTGGTGTCTGTCCTTGCTTGAGCCTTCCCGTCACTGGGAGAGCTGCTGGCTGCCTGCAGTGGGAGGGGCAGAGGCAGGCAATCTCCCGAAAGCACATTGACCAAAAGCTCCATGGGGCAGAGACTCTGCCAGTCAAACCCAGGCGTTTTTAAAACTGCTCATCCCCTGCAAAGGGGGCTTTGAGCCCCCGTGCAACACTGATGTAAGCAATACATACAGGATGAACACCTAGAAGTGAGGCAAGGACCACTTACCTCTCTCCTATAAAATTCCATAGTTGTTTTCTGTAAAATAAAGAAACAAAACCCATTAAATTGTGGTGGGTGCTTTCACTCGCCTTTTTTGAGACATGAAAACACCGTTGCAGGGCTGCCGTTGTGCAGCACTCTCCAATTAATTCTCATTACAATTAAAATCAAACACAGCAGCTCAGCTAATCAGGGTATCATCAAAGCTAAGAGCATCCACACACCATAAATCGTTCCATTAGCTGTATTTACTGTTTAGCATCGCTTCTTCCATCACAGGCTGCCTGTATGCCTTCAATTAAGGGGTTATTCTAATGGAGCTAAAATAGATTCGTTTACGAGACACAGATTAGATCATTCAATATTAGCTAAAGGAGACAGGAACCAACACATTGCAAAATATAAACACCACAATTAAAAGCCTCAGAAGCAGTATCTGCTGTGCAAAGGGTGCTTACGTTGTGATTTGAATAACTCAGACTATGTTACATGTCATCCACAAATGAGCAAGGAATTGAAGGCAAGAAATTAACTGCAGGGTGTTTATTCACACAGCTTCCTTTGAAGCACAGTTACTTTGTGTGAAATAAACCTGAGGAGGGAGAAGGAAAGACAGGCTAAGTCAGGGATGCTCCCAGCAAGCCTTTAAAGGCTTGTGCAGTGTTTCAGTTCTTCATCTCCCATTTTAGCCAACAAGATCTGCATCCCAGAATTATTCTATCAAACTAACCCTGTGGCGGACATGGGTCTGCAGAGTGCCTTGGTGAAGTGCAGTCTGTGAGCGATGAGGGATGAAGCAGCTGGTATCAAATGCCACAGGCAGCCTGCTTCTCCCACCTTCTCACCAGAAAACCTGCCCCTGTTTTGGGAAAAGCAAGATGCTCTTCCAGGGCTGCTTTGTGAAGGGACCATTGTAGGGACACTGGTGGAGATCTGCTTTTGCATTTTAACCATTGTCACTAGTCCTGCTCAGAAGGCAGAAACTATTCTCTATAGGGGAGAAAAATAGGCACATTTTGCTGAAACTTGGTTGGTTTTGGGAGGGCACACTCACCAGTTCAGCAGCAGGAGCCAGACATGCAGCAGGTCAGCCAATCTGTACAGCACTACCACGAAGCCAGCTCATCTGATCCTAACACAAACCTAGCCTGGCCAGTGTAGTACTAACAGAAATCCTCACTGTGGCATTGCAAGGGGAGGAAGCTTTTTCTGCTGGAAGTACCAGGACCAGCTCTGAATGATTGCAGTGCACATAATCTCAGCAGGGACAAACAGGAAAGCAAACAGTAGCTGCACCAGCAGTGACGCTCTGCTGGCCACACACAAGGAACTGCGTGTGAGGGGGCAAGGGCTGACACATCAAGGGGGAGAAAAACCTCTTGGACAACAGGATCGTTGGTCACAGGGCTGTACAGCATCCCTTGCTGATTCAAAGGCTCCCGGGACATTTTATAAATGATGGAGGACGCATGGACTAAGGAACAGCTTTTCACCCTTCTCTGCTCTTAGCTGCACCCCTGATGCCAGGCCAGCTTCCACATAGACACCATTTCTTTCCCCCATTTCTAGTGTCATCATTGTTTCAGATAGATTGTAGAAATGGAAGGCAAAAAAACCTCACCTGCTTGTGCAGAGAAATTCACTGCATTTCCTATCCTGGAAGTGTCCTCTCTAAAGAGCTTTCTTTTTCAGGCCAGCTATTTCCTGCACAATAGGAGTTCACTACCCCCTTGGGGAACCCGAGATACAAACCAGGCCCCATCAGATTTACAAGTGCCAGCTGAACTGTTCCATTTGATGGAACTTAGGTGTGGCTAGAGCATTTACTTTAGGAAAATCAACACGTTAAAATCATTGGATGGTTTTAAAAGTCCGCTCATTTCTTCATCTGTTTTGTCAAGTGGGACCCTCAGACAGGCCTGGTGCAGTGGGGCGAGGAGAGGTGGATGCTGGCATAGTGGCTTGAAGGCAGCTCACGTGGTAGTAAAGTTGTGTTACCTTCTACAGGGGTCTTAGAGGTAGGCAGCACACCACACACACATGAGACAAACAGCTGGTGGGAAAAAGAAAAAGAACACAGTAAGTTAAATGTTCTATAGACCAAGGAAGGCGCAAATTAAAATGCCATCACAACTGAAAAATTGTATGTGGGTGAGTAAAAATCAAAGCTAATGCCATGTCTGCAAACAAGGAAAGAATTTTGTTTTAAAGCACATCCTACACCCAAGATCCCCTCCTGCCACAGCCTGAGCGTGTAGGTCATCCCTCTGGAGAGCTGGTCCTGGGAAAACCAGGGGGGGCTTTGGTGGGGTGCTCCAGGGTGGGGACTTGCCAAGGCTCACATAGAAAAGGGGGCTCTGGCATGAGAAGGAAAGAGCATCACTGAGCAGTGGCACACACTGAACTGCAGAAGAATCAAAGAGGAGCCCAGCACTGAACAACCTACTGAGGGCTGCAGGTGCTGGCTGTGCTCAGCCCTTTCCAGTTCTCAAATTCACAGTAACTGGGAAGGATCTCAGCTATTTCACCCCAGAGCTGCACATCATTTCATTTCCCTTTCTCCCACAGTGCTCCCATGACCAGTTTCCAGCTTTGCTGCTCGTACAAGGGATGCTGAATACTCTCCGTGTCCTATTAAGCACTGCCAGTTGTCCCCACCACCCTACCCATCCTTACCCCCTGCTACTGACAGCATCAATGCCAAAGTACCCTGCACCACCCATCCACCCTCCCTCATTTGGAGGGAAGTAATATTTGGAACAAAAGAGTCATTTCTTATAATGAGATTAATTTTGCAATGCCCTTAACGACTGACTTATCGCAATTACCGCAGATAAGCTCCCCAGCCCTGCAGGCTTCAAATCAAAATGGCAATTAGCGAAAGACCTCAGTCTGTCTCGGGCGAGTGCGGCGTGCTGTTAAAACACCCTCCTCCCCGAGACACGCAGCAGCACTTGGACACCCTGCACAGCCTCATCGCATCCCGCTGCCGCCAGCTGAGCGCTCCCCATGCACGCAGGCTGCAGCTGCGAAGCTCAGCTGGGAGCCAGCCAGGACCTGCTCAAGAGCCCTGTGTCTGGAGCCGATCCACACGGCTGAAGCCAAGGGCTCCTACAAGAGCTGGGACATCTGCTAATTTCCAGCTAACCATTCGCATGGACCTCCTCTGCTCTCCGTGTGGGTCTTCCTGACCACATTGTGGAGATAATGGTCATTATGTTTTTGCCTGGCTGGCCACCATTCAGTGTTTACAGAGGCCATAAACAGCTGGACAACAGCTTTTGTGTGTGTGCCCAGATGGAGCTTGGAGTGAAGAACAAGGCCACTGTTATCCAGAGCTCATTTGGGGCCAGGGCACTGCAAAGCATGCCCACACTCTGCCTTGAACGCCGCAGTGCTCTCTGTCCATGCACACAGCTTGGCAAGCTGCGAGGACAACCCCGGGGATCCTGCGCTGAGCACCAGCCACCGAGCACAGGGCAGTGCCAGCGCAGCTCAGCCTCCCTCCAGATCTCGCTTTCTGGCAGCCAGAGCAAAAAACCTGTGGGCATGGCCTCCCTGACACTGCAATAGCAAACAGCACTCCGCCATGCACACAGCTCTGTTTCTGCACACGTGAACACCTCTTCTCGGGTGCAGATGTGAGCCTTTCCCTTCATGCAGCCAGCTGGGAGCCCTGCATGCCAGAAGAGAATTCTGAGTCTAGCATAAGATCATCTCAACATGCATCGCCACTGTGCTGGTGCTTCCAGCCCAACATCTGGAAATCAGATCTGTAACAGTCCATATGCCTGGCTTCATTCAAATTGCTGGGTTTCCTCTATCTTGTTTATTTGCTTCTGACTCTGTTGCTTCAAAAGATGTGACAGATGTGGCAGAAGTTACATGTTTATCAGGCAGCCAAACTGACAGAGACTTATGAAATGAAAAGCCAGCAATGACTGCGATGATCTGTGGCTGATTTGATGCATACAACAAGCCAGGACATTTCATTCAGTAGTCCCTGAATCTAGCACAGCGATATTTGGCTAAGCTAAAGCACCTTTCAGAAAGGCTCTCAGAAGAAGGCAAAAGCTGAGTGTGTACCTGCAGGTGAGTCAGTGGGCTCTGGCAGTTGCCTGGTAACTCACTGAGCAGTGAGGCTCGATGAAGTCTGAGACCTCGGTAACAAAAGGCTAAAGCATCCCTTAATTAGCTCTTCAATGGATGGCTACTTCTGCCTTACTCCTTCTGCCTGACTACAGCTCCTAACTCATAACCGGGAGGGATGCCCATGGGTCAGTAAAAAAAGTCCCTTTCAAAGGAGTGCAAGCACCTGTTTATCCCCAGAGGACTCTCTCAGTTAGGGAGGGAGCAGCCCACCAAAGGGTCTGAGGCAAGTGAAAGAGAGATGTTCATGCCAGCATCAGCTTCAAAGAAGTCACTCTGATGTCAGAAATTAATTATCACCAGGAATATTTTCTTTCTCAGCTGTCAAGATAAAAGACAACTAATTGGCCAACAAAGTCAAGTTAGACTGAGCGGGAACAGAGACACAAATCAAATAAATGGGCACTGGATTCACGCACTCATTTTCTGCTCTCACCATTTCACCTGTGTCAGAGCCAGAGGCTGAGCCCACAGAAAACATCAATAAAACCCTGCATTGCCTTCAGCAGGGGTAAGATATGGCCAACAAAGTACAGTCTGGCTCAGCATTTACCAGCAGAGCTTGGGCCATCCTTTCTGCTCATCAAGGGCTGTTGAGCCACAGGTGTTTGTGAGAGCAGCCGCAGGAATAAAAAAAAAAAAAGCTGCTATTCCAAAGGTGGCTCTGTGTGGGCTTCTGGCTGTCTCATGTATTGTCAATCGCTCTTTCAAAAGCAAAAAGAGGAGCAAGAAGAACCTTCCCTCTTCTGCTGAGCCTCCAGAGAGGAGGCACAGCTCAGTGACCAGCTTAAAGGAGAAAGGCAGTGAAGTTACCCCAAAGCTGGCGTCCTTTGGCTCACGCCCTGCTCAGTCTCCACTGACGGGGGGAACTGACCACCTCTCTTATGTTCAGGGTGGGAACTGAACAGGGATCCATCAGCTCGCGTCCTCTGTGCTACCAAGCAGCTGGCAGATGGCTATGGGCTTTCAGACTGCTTGCAAACCTAAAATCTCCTTCCATGTCAGCTGTAAAACTGTGGGTGAGAAGTTGGCTTACTCCTCTTTTCTATCCCTCTCCCTTTCCACCACTCCTTTTCTCTTAAAAATAAATAAGTAAGTAAATAAATAAAGGCTGTCAGCAGCCGCTACTTAACAGCAAGAGAAAATAAAATACACCCCAACCCTACATTTTGCTCATTTTCAGTCTCTATAGCAACAGAACGCAGTTGGCCAAAGTGATTATCCTGCCTCTGGCTGTCGAGATGTTTAAAGGCTGTTACAAAAATAAGAAGTTGTGGGAATACAGTGAGTGTGATCGCAGTAACATTTGCATTTAATTGCTCAGAGACACTTTGACTTCACTTCCAAATGAACACTGTTAAGTGCACAAACACAGGATCACTTAAAAGGACTGATGGGGAAAGAGAAGAGCAGCTCCAGCTCATCATCCACTGACTGCATTTGTCTTATTGTAGACTCTGAACCAGTCCCACCCAGTTACAGCCTCCATGGTCTCAGTTCATTAATTCTGTTTCTTTATGGTCTAGCTATACATTATGCATTTTTAGGCAACATTTTGTCTCCTATCTACCACACCAACTTCTCCATCTCCTTACCCTTTTGGAGGTATTCTGTCATTTTATTTTAAACCTGGATCTTTCCTCTAATCCTTTACACCCCACAACCCCACACAGTTCATTCAGCACTAATAAAAAGGCAGCAATGAGCATCTGGAGGTTGAGGATTCCTTAATTCAGTTTCACCAGCAAAGAAAACATGTCCTGTAGCTAAGACCTCGCACTAACTGGTGTGGCAAGAAAGCTGACAAAGTATTTTCAAGCCAAAAGAAGCTGCCAAAGCTTATTTTGAGGGCCCCACCCCCAGGACAATGAGACAGCTTCAACCTCTGGCCTGTTTGGCTGTCACAGCTGAGCTAACTCGCTCAGCCTGTGGTGCCCAAAAAAAGACAATCCCAGGGACATTGTCTGGGTCCTCCCAAACAAATTCAGTAGGTGTGGGAAAAAAAAAAAAAAAAAGAAAAAAAAAACCAACTGTCTCACCTGGTTTACCTTATTTTCATTGGGATCCGTTGCACGGTCTAATCCATACTCGAGGACGTTTAGCATGCCGGGCTGTTATGAACAAGAAACATCAATAGCTTTGTAACTCATTTGTTTTAAAGTCTGTGGTTCACACAAATGCATGAGGAGACCCCTGAACCCTGAAAGGCTCCACTGCCAGCACCTCCCGGCCAGCAATGCCCTGGGGGAGCTCTGCCTCTGCTCCCCTCTGAGCACCGGTGCTGCAGTCAGACCTCCCTCCCCTGCACCTTTGAGAGCAACCAAGGAGAAAGGTGGTGTGGGCTCAGGGCAGGTCTGGGCTGACCTCTTCCCTGATGGGAAGCAACAGGGTGCACAGCCCAGAGGCCACGACCATGGCCATGCCCTTAGCCTGTGGAATTTTGTCCCAGGTGGCTGCAGGGAGGGCACCACTGAGCCACTAAAGCCACACACCGTCATACTCTACTTACAGGAGTCCGGTTCACGAGCCAGTAGGCTCTCTCCTGGCAGTCCAGAGCGTACCTGTCTGCCTTCTTCCGCTCCTTCCCTGCCCTGCAAAGCCAAGAACAGGATTTGACTCTACCAGGGGAATTCAGGAATTCTGCTCTCCTAAAACCACTGGGTTAAGAAAAGGGGCACACCTCCAGTCTCCCCTGACCCCCTTGGGTCCCAGCCTGACTGCGTGATGCTCTGATGCAGCCTCCTCACCACACCTTACCCCAGCTAATTCTGGGCTGTAGATCATGCTGTTCACGTGGCCACATATGACTACAGCTTTTGAGAAATCATCGTCTTCCTGAGCTCAGCTGGGAGCAGACACATCCTCTTTTGATTAGACAGACAGCCCTTTGGTAGTTTTATGCTAACTACCCGCTACTTGCGGTCAGTCCTGCTGCCTCATGTTTATCCATCTCCAATGTCCCCAGGCAGTATCTGAAGACTGCCACGGAGAGATACATCCCGGACATGTCTCATCCCTGTCTCATAATAAAGGGGGGCATTTCTCACAGAAATTATTTGGAAATGGTACCAAGCAGTGTTCCCAGGCACTAAAACCCAAATCACCTCTACTATTAAATAGAAGAGGGACTAGCATGGTTTGGGCTTGGACCAACTAATTCTTTCCCAGACATGTCCTGGGCACAATTTGGGACTTAGCATGGGCAGGGAAGCATTCCCAAAAGGCTGTTTGCATGTGGCCACCCTGCTGTGGTTAACAGGGTGGATGCGGGCTGTTCTGCACCAGTCTGCCCCAGCATCATCATTAAACAGCCTCAGACGTGTTTAATCCACTAGTTCAGACACAGTCTCGGTATCTAACTTTAAAACTGCATTTGGCATCTCTTAGCCCAAGTCTGACCTCAATTTACAAGAACAACAGCCTCGCGTTTAATGAGACAGTTATCTGATGAGCTGTATTCTGACGACTTGGCTACCATCCCAGTGAAGACAGAAATGCTGCTGAACAGCAGAGGCAGTGCCTGCCGTGCTGGGAGGTAAAAAAGGTAAGAGGAATCCACAGACGGAGGAAAGATCCTATCTCCAGAGGAGTAACCCCATCTCACGTTCACTAACTTTCCTGGGAATTTGAAGGATTCAGCTCCTAAAATCAAGTCATTTTGGCTAGGTGCCTAAATATGCACTTCAGAGTTTTCTCCAGAAGTCCCTGCTGGGAACATTTACTGCATCTTGATTCAGGCCATTCAGTTCAGCCGTGAGACATGTGCAAGCAATAATTGAACCAGACTAATAACAGGTCCTAAATTCAGTAGCCTGATCCACAAATGCTCATGGACAACTCTGAGATAAAAGAAGCTGTCTCTAATGAGGGCTTGCAAGCTGCAGCATCAGACCCTGTCTTCTTCAGGGAGTCACATCAGGTGCAAAATCCAAACCTCCCCTTGCACACTTACGCATATGCAAAAACCATTTGCAGATAGGCATGTGGATGTACTGGGGGGAAAGGCACCCACCCCCACCTATGTTCTCACAAACTGCACCAATTCCACATTTTTGGCAGACAAATGCCAGGCAGGGAGAGAAACGCAGGTGCGGCAGGCAAGGGTGAGGCTTTGCAAGTGGGCATCCAGTCATTTGAAAACGACTGAAATCCTTCACTCACAAAGTGCAAAGTGAACAAAGTTTACGTGTTAAATGGAGGAACCCCAAGCTGATATGACAGGCAGGTTTGTTTCACAATCTTGAGGGGCACTTGCAAGTTATATTAAAGCTGCAGTTTATGTTTTCAAACTGCAATTTAACTGTATACCAAGACAGTGAAGCCCTGCCTCCTCATACCCTCCCCAATTATGCAAATAAGGGAACGCAAGTCAACTCACTTATACTGCTCTTTGGCCTGCATAATAACAAAATCCCACTTGTAGTTTATTTTTTGATTGAGCATGTTGTAATGTTCCTGGAATAAAAATAAAAAAGCAGTTAGTGTGAAAATTCTGGACAAGGAACTCCCATGCTAGGGTTTTCTTGACTTTCCATAGCTCAAGTAGGCCAGGCTAGCAACCAAGCCAAGAAATCTGGATTGTTCTGAACGTAATTACATGAATTGCAACAGTTCAAAAATACCACTGCAAGGAGAGCAATTATCCCCGCCAAAATTATCATTGACTTCAGAGTATTTTCCTGTACTGGCCATTTTTTCAGTTCTAAAATTTTTGGCTTTTGACACTGCTGGAGTAACACCTCATGGAATTGAAGAGGTGACGTTGCCATGCTCCATTCATTAGCAACAGAGGGCTAAAGCTATAGCAAACACGGGGCTTGCAATGGAACAAGAACAGCACCTCCTTACCTTTTCATATTCTTCTAAAATCCCTTTCCTCTTAATGTTCTTCTTTGCTAGATAAATTGCTGTGGAGGGAGAAGCAAACAAGCAGTCAGTTATACTTAGACCAACAAATCCAAGAATAATTAAAAATTTACCCAGATGACAAATACAGAAATCTTTGTCTGTTACAATATCTTCCCAGGCATGAGCTCCAAGCTCATAAAAGCTCACTGAAGAAAAATGAATTTGGTGCTTTCACTTTATCGCTAATACATCGTAAGCCAGTGCCCAGGCTGGGAGCAGCCACGCAGAATGGGCGGTGCATGCCTTCTGGCAGCACTCACTCCTCCTTTAGGAACTCAGCCAGGGTTTCACAGGTGAAAGGATACTGGACCAAATCTTTAAGATGTTGAGTTTCTTCAGAATTTGACCTCCAAGTTTTCTAAACACAGGTCAGTGTTTTCTTCCAAGTTCTATTAAAAACATTCCAATCTAAAAATGGGCTTTTTTATTTCCCCAGAAGATCTACAGCATAATGTAGATAAAAGCCACAGAAGACAATCTTGGTATAAACAAATCAGTTTGCGAACTGCACAGCCCACAGGAGCAAACCAAGCTGATCAGCCCAAGTTTCATGATGAGCACTATAATAAAAAGCATTATAAAGGCAACAAATGATTGATGTGGAAAGAGCCATCAGGAGATATTGGAAGCCACTGTGCATTATATAAAGAGAGAACCATCTCTCAATGCAGGGCTTAATCCAAATCTATGGGAAGACAGCCTTGGGCTCAGATCCAGGAATGCACTTAACTACTCAGGGAAATCTAACCTTGTTTTTAAAGTCTTCCCTACCCAGCAGAGTATTTTAGATGTGTTCCAGTCTGATGGATCTTAGTGGAACATCAGAGAAGCTTAAGCACTTTCTCTCATCAAGGCCACCACAAGGTGGTCACATCCAGAGCATTCCCTCAATTCAGCATTACTGAGAATTATTCACAAAATAGCATGGAAGAAAATGCAAGGGCTGGTCATCGCATGTGGACACACAGCAGAAAAAGATGAACAGCAAACACGGTGCAGGACTGTGTGCACAAACACATGGGCTTGCACTACGCCTCCTCAACATGTACAATGCTATCACTTACCATAGTCAGTGTCATCAGCAGGCCAGCTCTGCGCCGGCCAGAAATAGGGGGTCTGCAGAAAAACAAGCCTTTCATTAGTGTACAGTAGCCTTGAACTCATGCCAAGAGGCATGCAGCACCACCCCCACTGGAGGAAGAGGAAAGTTCTCCTCTGCTATACTCAGAGCATCAGCTCGCACGGTGGTGCAGGCCAGCTACATCAGAAGAATCAAGGTCAGCACACCACCAATATCAAACCCACTCCTCCTCTGGAATCAGTTAATATGTCCAACCTCTCACTGCTGCCTGAGCGTTCAGACTGATGCTGGAGCCTGATATGGTACCACGTGGGAACCAGACTCCTCATTCAAAGTATCAATGTGGGTACCCTAATTTCCCATCATAGTGGAAACAGTTCAACCATGAACCTTGATAACATCCTGTTATTACTGTGCTTTTTGTATATTCATTATTCAGTCTTCCCAGATCATTCTACTTTCAACCAGCGATTCCATTTGCTACTTTAAGACCTGGAAGGGAACGCACATTTGGAAGAAAGCACAGCTATTTTGAAGTTGAACAAGTACGCTAATTTAGTTGAAGGAAGCATCACAGTTTCCCTGTAAACACAGAACTGGGGGAACTGGCCCGAGTCTTCTCTGTGGATCCCTTCCTCCCTCCTGCACACTGAATGACTAGCACAGCTACACGGCGTGGCCTCACGGCTACAGCTCATGGGGAACTGTCCCAGCTGCCTGTTTTTAAAACTAGTGCTGAACTCCTTCTCAGTGGCTTTAGAGAAGATGCAACTCACTTGAAACCTGTACAGGCTGCCATCTCTCCTAAGAGTGAGATTCTTTGGCTCCTGAAGAGGGTAGATGTATCCATATTTGACAAACAGGTCTCCCAGGTGCAGTGCCTCTGAAAATGGAGAAGGCAGAAGTTTTGATTGCACAGAAACACTGAAGCAGAATTTAAAAGTGAGCTGCTACTCAGGAGAGAAGAATTCATCTAAAAGGCTTTGTTTATAGAGACCATAAAATTTTACAACTCAAAGCTGAAAAAGCCTCCATTTTTACATTTCTACCCACCTTCCTCAGTGATCTGCAAGCGCTGGAGAATCCACTGCAATATATCATTACCTGTAAATCAAAGAAAATGTCAGGTGCTTGAAATCAGGAGTGTGCCAAAATCCATAGGTGAAAATGAGACCTCTCCAGTCCTCACCCCTCACTGTGCTCTGGATCCCACCAAGTGCACAGACCCCTTCTTGCAAACATGCTTTCACATGCACCATGCAAGAGAAGCGGAGATAAAATGCACTGCTGGTCTCTCACTCGCTATGCTGTCGTTCAGGCTTTCTCCCGACCAAGCAGGCATCCGTCCCTGGCAGAGGGAGCCCAAGGCAGGCAGTGACCTCAGGATGGGACAGCGTGAGTGTGCAGAAGCACACGTGGTCTGAGCAACTCTGAAAGTTCTCATCATTGGCTTAGAAAGGACTTCAGCAATGCAACAGCTTCCACACCCAGGGAAGGTGAAGTGCCCCTTGTTTTGCACCATCTTGTCTTGAAAGATTCACTGCAAAGTATCTCCAGATTCACAGAGCACGGTCCTGTCTCAGTTTTAGTAAGAGACCAGTGACTGGTCCTCTCAAGTCCTTTAAGAATTACAACTTTCAGTGCAAAAGGAATGCCTGAGTCTCAGATCCAAGCTGTAGTGGCAACAGGACTTATCAAAGGGAAACAAGATTTCTGCATTCACAAACACTTCATCTCTTCCAGTTCTTTTGTTGGAGTGTGACCAGTCACACCCATAGTCAGCATATACCTCCAGCAGTTTATGTTCTGGGGGGAAAATTTCATGAACCTCCTTCCATTTAAACAGGGCAAAAATGCACTCATTCCCTGATCAATTATTGGTCTTTTCCTCCAAACGTCCCCCAGGATTGCAGATTGAGGTGTTGACCTTTCTTGACATTGCAGTGATGACTTAACTTTCTAATAGGGGCTCAGAGCTCTTATCCTACTGCCTGCTTCCTGAAATAGATGAAATTAAAGGATTATCTCATCACTCATTTCTAGACAGCTCTCTCTGTAAGCATTTTCCCCCAAAGGTGCGCTTTTAAGATGGAGGTTTATTTGCCTTTTCTGTTGTGACCCATTTTACTGACACTGAATTTAACTAGTTCACTTCCAGCACATGAAGAGCCAAGCTCTCTTCAGTGGATCTGTGTCCACCGCTCTAATGCCTTCACCATTCCTTCACTAAACATGAGTCAGTCTCTTTTGCAACACCCAGAAGCCAATCAGTATAAATGCAACTTGTGCAGCACTAAAAATATCATAGTTTAGAGAGTGATGACCATCACGCAAGGAGACTGGAACTCACTTGCCTATCAGAAGTTGACTACAATTTATGACTTATGCAAGAGGGAACTTGTAGCTGTTCTGGTTAAGGAACCAGAATAAAGTAGTCAGCGCACAAAGAGGATGAGCATCAACTGACATCTTCCCTCTACATCATCTAGCCATGGAATTTTAGGAAGTGGTATTTTACATTGGTCAGACATCAAGAGAAGTACTTGTTCCCCCTGCACTTAATCTAGGTGGCACATCATCTTCAGTACAGGGGAATCTTTTCTGCAGTGCTGCTTTAACTGTTCACTAACAGCTAGGGGAAGCAAGGCCATCTCCTTTGCAAATGCAAAGCACTCCACCAAATTCAGCTGCATAATACCTGTGTAAGCCAGGATATGGTTTGTACTGTAATGCACGGAGAGTGCTGCCGAGAACAAGCTTCAGATGCTGTCCAAGATCTCCCTAGCCTTTCACTAACTGACTGTACCCATGGGCAAGCAACTTCATCTCAGTGCCTCTGCTTCCTCATTTTAAAAAAAAAAAAAAAAATGGGGCAAACAACACACAGGGCCTACCAGGCTTTGCAAATACAGTGGGGAAAACTTAATCTATTTGGCTAAGTTGTCTCCCAAGTTGCCTGGAGGAAGCTCACTGGTTTCAGTGGGAGTTTTTGTTCTGAATTTCAAAGTGCTGCAGAAAGACCAAAGCAGGAGGAGGAAACTTCGGTACATTATGTGTGAATATTTATAGTGAAGGATCCCTCACAAGAGCTTTTGTGGAGGCTTGGAGAACAGGGAAGCAGAGGTACTGACAGTGCCCTGTGAAAGGACTTAGCAGGCAGGCACAAAGGAGACTGCGATAAGAGCTGCCTCTAATGTCATACGTGACACAGCACAGCACAGCTCCCCATCTGTTTGTTCTTCAGCCCACTTGAAGGAGGAAAAGCTGTCATTTAGAGGCAGAGAAGTGGGTTGAATATTTTGTTCTTTTTCTGCATACTGAAGAAAAATTATTATTAGCAGAAAACATCAAAAGGGACACTAATTGTTTATTGCTCATTTCTGAAGTACCATCTTTCAATCTGACTCCAGGCTGCCTATTTTAATATTTATCTTTATTTGTGATCCAGCCTCACTGGGAATATGACAGGTCTGGAGGCTGAAGCACCTACTCACCTCTACAGTAAGAGAAAGCAAAGTCACTTGAGTTAAACTCACGAGAGCTACAAGCGCGTGATTATCAATCTTTGTGTCTCTTATTCAAAGAGCTAGGACTGAAGTGAGACAGGCAGTGGTAACCCTGGGGTGGCCACGGGGTCCACACACACCTTTTCTTTGATGGACTTCTTTGGCCCAGTCCCTTTCCCCGGTGAAGCTCTTACCTGCCACAGCATGTGGGATGTCTGTGATCATCACCTTCTGTGTCTGCGTCTTGATGCCCGTGTCTGGATTCTGCATCTCCATCATAAGTGCTTCGATCTGCAAAGCATGGCAGGGATGGGATGTATTACAGGAGTGGACAGGAGGGAGCCCCAGGACCACCACAGCTCTGGGCAGCATCCCAGAGAGGTGTGCAGTGGTGTGCCACAGGAATGGATGCAATGGTCACAGTCCTGTCCAAACCTCCGCTTGCCATTAGAGATACCACCTCCAAACCATGTCAGCTCTCACACTGACTCACAGTGTCACTCCCTCCTACAGAAGACACATGCATAGCCAGGGTTAGCAGACAAGGGACAGGACATAACCACTCCATGAGAGCTGAACTTCAAAAAAAAAAAAAAAAATCTCTGCTACCCATAAATGCTCTTCTCTGGCTCAGTGGGCAATAAGAAAGAAAAAAGGGGAGGAAATAAAATCTGTGCTTCTATTGCTCAAATACACCAGCTGTGCACAGACTTGTAGGCATTGCACCACACGCCAAGAAAATAAGCAATATTTTGCCTGGAGACCAAACAGCAAAGGTTGTGTTTCTGGTCTGCAGATAATAACCAGACAGGACTTTAGGAGATCAACAGGAAAAGCACACCAGTTTGCTCTGGGGCTGAGCAAGAAGTTCAAACCTGGGGGAGATGAGAACGGTCCATCTTTTGAGGAAGCACAGCCACCACCTGAGCCAAGGCTTTGAAAAGCTGCCCAAGGACCGATTACAGCAGGGAACAGAATTTACATGTGGGAAAGCAGACTGCAAACGCTGGAAGAGCCCAGCTCGTAGGATGGAGGCGTACAAGGGACTCTCCAGCCGTTCCTGTGGACTTCTGCACCCACCCACCTGGGGTCTCAGCCCCGTCTGTGGGCAGCAAAGCTCAGTCACCCCAGGGACCAGGCAGAGACACGCCATCCGGAGCAACTCACCCTCCTATCCAGCAGCATCTCCCACCTTTGATTCCTGAGAGATGCTGATGACTCGTTTTTAACAGATCATGTTACGGAGGATGAGTCTCACGCTCAGGGCCAGACTTCTTTTATTTCTGGTTCCCAATTATCTTTGTTCTTTTAAAAAGATGAAGATTTGCAAAGGTGTTTTCCTCCTCTTATATTTGACTTCCTACTAGCACCATCCCAAAAGCACAAGAGCCTCCTGCTTGCACTTCGGATCCTCTGCTTAGGTGGGTGGAGTTGGGGCACACTCCTCATCTCCTCATTTTAGATTATCTGTGTGCTGTGAGAGCATTGGCTTTGTGGAAGAGGTTCTTCTTTTTGTCTTTGGCTTCCAGAGATATTAAATCAAAACTGGTCCAACAGGACCAATTTTGTCTCTCTGCACATTCATTTAGGGTGAGGCTGTAGCTTTTTAGCTAGGATTAGAGGATTTAACGAGTGTGAGTTGATGACACTCACGCATAATGAAGGGTATTGTCTTCACAGGCACCACAGTGACTTTGGTCCTAAGTCTTGCCAAGTTCAGTGAGGATTTAAGCCTGTAGTGACAGGATGCACTCTGAGCTTGACAGTAAAAATGGATTTTCAACTGTTTTTAAAGGCAGTGTCAAATTAATACTAAAACAGAGAACACTAGTAAAATTTCACAAAAATATTTGTATAAATACTTACATAATTTTTTTTTTAAATACCAAAACCAGACCCAAAGTGATGGAATATAAAGACTTTTTTAGACCTTTTAACTGAACCCCCAATTTTGGCCTCAGCAGGTTCAAGGTTGGGCATGGAGAGATGCCAGTGTAGCTGTGCAAGATGAAACAGGCAGGGCACTAATTTAGGAAACTCAGATTCAGTTCCCTCTAAGCAAACACTGGTATCTTGGGGAAGTCACTTACTCTCTCTGTAACTACATGTCTGCTCTGCAGACAGCACTTCTTCAGCACACAGGGATACTGGGGGTAAACATAGCGCTGCTCATCACCATCGTACCACAGTGCCGTGATCAGCGGGCAGGTCCCACCAAGCTCGAGCAGGACTTGTTCCCTGCAAGCAGTACAGCACACCCTGCCCCACTGTGGGGCTGCCATTTGCTCCCCGGTGGACTCAAGATGGGTTTTTACCAGCTGAGAGGGAGGAATTGGCTCAGAAACCCACTGCCTCCCAGCACAGCATGTTCCCTTTCTTCAACCAGCAAAGAGCTCCAGACTCTTGTCGTGTTCATACCCTGCCGTGCTCCCTCTCATCACTGGAGAAATAATATATATTAAAAAGAAACAAGCGAGATGAGCCAGGGAGCTGCTGTTGGGGGGTGCCTGCTGCTCTGGCTGCAAACCATGCACTTTGCTGATCAAAACTCAGCCTGTCTCTTCCTCTTCTCCTAAGGGAACACTGCTGATTATGGGTTGCTGGCAATCAGGAGTTGCTATCAGCACCAGCCTGCCAGCAAGAGGCCAGGAGGACTGGTTAAAATACAGTGGGAACATTTGCTTGCTTTGCTAAGGGCTCTAGCACATTTTGTCACACTTTCAGCCAGTCTGGTTTGAATTTTGTAGAGCCAGAAGCCACTTCCTGATGCTGGTTGATGGGTGGAGATGCATGCAGAGGTAAATATCAGCAGGAGCACTGCTAAAGGAGCCAGGCTCTGGGATAAGCTCACCTCAAGCACAGAGCCACCATGAGGCACAAGCCCCACTGAGGTCTCCCTTCAGATCACCTGGAAACTCCGCACAGAGGTGACCTCACCCTGAAAGCCACAGAGGAGACAACAGGAAAACTGTCTGCCCCCATCTGATTGCAAGAAGTCACCAGACTCACTGAGTGCAAAGCAAAACTCAAGTTGATAAATGATAAGAAAAAGCATCACTGCATTTCAAGAGCACATGGGAAGCCCCAGGGAGGGTGAGGGTCCTCTCTGCAAATGATCAGCAATTAATGGGTTGCCCAGGATTCTGGAGAAGGAGGATGGATCCAGCACGGATGCTTTCCCACAGGAGGGAGCAGTGGGAGCAGATGAGCACTGATGGATTGCTTGGGCGAGTTACCCCAGGTATGTTTCTCACCTTTGTTTCTCTGAGTTTTACCCTTTGGGCACCCGCCAGCGCCCCCGGGTCAGGGTATCTGCACCGCAGAAGCATCAGGCTCCAGCTGCTGAGACTCTGACATGCAACAGCAAAACACTTCCAAGGGGAAGATTTCAGCCCCTCTCAGCATCAACCCAGACAGAGGCATCTTTGCTTCACATGTAAGAAAGAAAAATTTTCCCAGCAGGCTCCAGCTCACAGCTGAATGCCCACTCCTGGTGCTATAATTAAACATCTGCTGCTTTCTCCGTCATGAGTATTTGCCCAGTTCTAGCCCCCCTCACTGCCTGGTACTGTTTGCAAAGATCATCCCTCCCTGCTCTGATCTCCAAGGTAGCAATACAGTCCTTCATCACAGCTCTGGCCTCAGAGGGCTAATTCAGTTATTTTCTAGGTCTACAACTAGCAATCCTGTTTTGCACATTCATGGATGATCAGAAAAAAGAAGAAATGAAAAAAAAAAAATCAATTGTTGACCACCTAAAACTTCCTGCTTTTTCTTAATTAAAGCTGAGAGCAGGAGGCCTGTTCCCACTCAGTGCACAGCGATCCCACGCCCAGAGGAAGCAAATCTGTGAATGGGGATGGCAGGGCTATAGCTGGCTCTTTCCACATGCTCCCTCTTCCCTCACTGTGCTGCCATCACTCTGGCCAAGCCTCCTACTTAAACCCACATAGCAACAAAACCAAACCGAAGCACAGTCCCACCTGGCTGAGCACACCACCTCTCACCAGGGCTGCCTGGAGCATGTCGCGCTCGGCATGACGCTCCACAGAAATGTGTAGCACCTCCCTGCCTGGGACAGGGAAAGGGAGGATGGGATGAGGCTGAGCTTAGCCTAAGGCTCAGCTTTGGCCATGTCCAGGACCTCACTTAAACAGAGAGCAGGAGTCCAATGGATAGCTCCTTCCAGCAAAAACACAATTCAGATGCTCACACACCTTGAGCAAGGCCCAGGCAGATGAGGGCCAGCAGCTGATGGAGAATCGAAGCCAGGCTGGAGAAGTCCCCAGCCATGCTGCGGACCCCAGGCCAATCCCTCCCCAATTGCAGCACTGCCTCAGGAGGAGCCATCGGGGACCAGAGGAAGGAGGAGGCAGAGGAAAACGGCAAGCAGCATCCATCAGCCCTACCCACGAGCTATGAGTCACGATGCAGCTTATGCAGCACAGCAAGGAAAAATACACAGCCCAGCAGCCGCTAGAGAGTACAATCCTGCCCGGCGCTGCCTTCTGCTTTGCCAGCTGATGCCCAATGGAGGCCAGATCCAGGCTGCTGGGGCAGGCATAGGCACCAACAGCTTGAGCTGATTCAAGTTCTCCCAGAATCTGGCCAAGGGCACGCAGTCAAAACACATTTCAGAGGCTTCCTCCCTGTCCCAAAAGACTTTTGTGCCAATATTCTTCCTATCAAGACAGTTTAGGAGGGGAAGAAAATAGAATAAAACAACCTAAGCATTAGTTATGAGTATTTCATGGACTAGCAGGCGTTGCAGGGCCTTGGAGGGGGCTTTCCGATTCCCCCATGGTTCACCCATGAAGACCAAGCTCTACATCCAGTCCGAGTCATGCAGAGCAGCCTCACAGCAAGTACATGGCACTGCCCACTGCCCCCAAAGCAACCCCCTTTCCTCTCCCCCTGTCCGATGGCAGGATTGCTGCGGTCACAGGCTGCCTGCTGGAGAACCAGCGCACAGAGATGCATCATAGCTGCAAAGGCACAACAGGGCCAGCAGCCTGACAGCACAGCAGGAATCCCTCCATGCAGCCAGACCAAACCCACGGTTACAGCCTATGTGCCAGCTGGTGGCAAAGCTTGAGCACAGACTTAAGCAATTAAGAAAGCTTCTCTCTAGGATCTTAGCTCCTCGTGCACCTAAGCCTGCAAGGTGCTTGCTGGATGCATGCTGAGCATCCTCAGCTCCCACCACAGGGAACCAGTAAAGGTGCTCGGTATTTCAGGGCAGCTCTGAGGATGCGGCCGTCCACATACAGACCACACTGCCATGTAACAGCTGAGGCTCCGTACACAGCTTCCTCAAGGTCTGGAAAAAATAGAGGAGGAATAAAAGCAGAGATGAGAGCCAAAGCCTTTTTCTGGGAGCTTCCTTTCCTAGTGCTAACAGGTCTTTGACTTGCAAAGTGCTGTAATTACTCAAACCCTCTCATTCCTCACAGTGGGAGTGGCACATGCTCCGTAACAGCAGTTCACTGTATTTTAACGGATCTTCCCACCTGAGGAACTCAGAGCACTTTGCAAAGATTGCTATGTTCCTACAGAGCAGCTAAAGCACAATTGCTGGCGGTTGTTCTCTCAAAGCACACAGCTTCTCCTCTCCACCCCCACACGCGACTCCACGGAGTATTACGCAGTGCAGAATTTGGCCCAGAGTATTTCCTTTGGCAGGGTTCCCCAGTCAAATTCACCTTGGAAGGCACAGCACCAAAGAAAATACCTTTTTTACTTCCTCTAGCATAAAAAGTACGGTATTTGTATTGCTAGGCTCATACCTTAGCACTGAATAGCCTCAAATTTCCCCCCTTTTCCCCCCAGAATCCTCCTTAGGTTGTGGGTGTTGCAGGAGAGCTAACTACAACTCAAACTGGCTGGCTGTACTTGTCACTGGAAATTCAGTTAATTCCACTCAACAGGATAAGCCACAGGCAGGAGAGGTGGGTGGGAGAAAAGCTAGCTTAACACTCTGCTTTTTAAAATCTGCAGATACCAGTTATACTAAAGCTGGCTACACTTTTGAATGAATGCTACAGAAAAAAAAAACATCAAATGCTTTACAAAATTACGCATCACATCCAAAAGCGTAGGTGTACATCTTACCACTCTTTCAACTGTTTCTGGTCACAAATACGCTCGTTTCTGAAAAAGTGGAAAGAAGCAGAGAACAGACAGTTGGCCATGATACATCCTCTGAAAGTGGACATCAGCTGGAAGCACTGGGAACGCACACGCTGGACCAACTGTGGCCCAGAGCTCAACTGAGTGGCCTGGCACCGCAGATGATGGGTTTGCCCCTGGGAATGACACAGTTTTGCAGGTCTTTGGGAAAAAAGATGGGAGAGGGAGAAAATGTGTCAGGAGAATAATTCAGCTGAGGCTAAGCTACAAAAATAAACAAAATTACTGCTTTATTTCCCCCAATGACTTCAGCACACATTGCTCCTCAGCCCCCCAGCTGGAACCCCGGAGCCAGCTGGGATCCACAGGGCTCCGCAACAGGTCATGGCCCCAAATCCCCGCGGATGGGGCTGTCACCCCTCGGACTCCACACACCCAGAGGGGCCCCGGGAAGTCGTGGCCGGGCAGGATGCTATGAACACGGGTGTCCCCCCCCGGCCTGGAGCACCGGGCAGCGCATCACCCCACCCGGCCGCGGTCCCGAGGTGGCGGCGGCTGCTGATGCCCATAACGGTGCGGCTGTCTCCCGGCGCTGCTCAGCCCTCACCTTTTTCAGGAAGGCCATCCGCGGCCGGTGGCGCTGCCCCTGGTCGAGCCGTGTGACGGTCATGGTGCCGGGCCGGGCAGCGCGGTGCGGCGGGCGGAGCGGGCTGGCGGAGCGGCGACCCCGACCGAACGCACCTCGCTACGGCCACCCGCCTCCTCTCCCTGCCGAGGGCGGCGCCCGTGCTGCGCGTCGCAGCCAATCAGCACCCGCCGCCCCACGCTTATTTACATGAAGGGGTGGGGCGGCGCCGCTGCCGCCTTGGGGCGCTAGCGGGAGCCCGTTCGGCCCGCGGCGGGGGCGGGGCAGGGGGGGGGGCCTGAGCAGGCGCGGCAGGAGGCGTGGCCATGGCCGGCTGCAGGGGTGGGGGCTGATGGAGATCCGGCACGGTTCTGGAAGGTGCTGGGTGTCTGCAGCCGCCCGTGTGAGGCGGGCTTGGCAGTCACGCTGGAAGCGGTCCTTACGAAAGGAGGGGGTTTGGGCAGAGCAGGTGGCGTTAGCGAGGGGGAGGCAGGAGGTAGCGAAGCCCCCACACACTGCTCGTTCCTCCGGAGAGGGGCGAATCCCTCCCCGAAGCGCTCCTAGAGTGGAGTCAGGGTAAAACGAGGGCGCCTAAGACCAAGCTGTTGCAACTCGGGTGTGCAAGAGGTAGGCAGTGCTTTGGGAATCTGCTCCTTGAATGTCACCAGCCTTGGTCAGCTCAGCTGTGGATGCAGGAGCCAGGCGGGTGTTTTTTGGGCGGTCGGTGGCTTTGCCGTGTGGGGAAATTGTGACTAACGGTGACCAGAGGAAGACCACAGGATTACAGAGTGCTTCCTCACGATGGAACTGTCTCATGCCAGCGGGTGGGGGAACAGTACCTGACTGGCAGTGCTGGAAACCAAGAGCTCTGTTTTTCTGTTTTGTTCAGAAAAGGGTGGAATTTCCTCCTGCTGCCCAGGGCTCGGCCTGCCAGCACAGCCGGGCAGGAGGAGAGGGCCGGGTCCTCACTTGGGCAGAATCTAGTTGTGCCAGGGCTTGTAGGAGGCATTCCCAGGAATTCCTGCCAGCCGTGTGGGCACGTTGCTTTTTGCACATTGCGCACCTACGCATGGTGTGTGCCTACCTCCCCACACACCGCACAGAGAACATGCGTGCATGGGAGTGTGTGCTCACACCTCGGAGTGCACAGAGTGCCATGAGTACCCGTACTGAGCAGGCGCTCGCACCACACTCTCCGTGAGCAGATCCCACCCAACGCTGCCAGCATGCTCCCATGTGTCCCTTGGACACACGGGCACGGGTCATGCAGGCACTTTTATACCTCATCCACATGCATGTCACACAGGGAGCGCCCCACGCTTCCCACACATGTGCATAGCTGTTTCTCAGGACAGTGCCTTCCCCACCATGGTGTTTGTGACTGTTCTGACGTTACCATCTGTGGTTCGCGTGCTTGAGGAAAGCACGTTGGCTCTGAACTTGGAGCAGAGTGCTTTTTCCATTCATAGTAATACCCTGAAGGCACAGGCTGCTTTCCCAGTTGCTTTGCTGCCCTCATGGAAGTGTTTTATCTCTGCTCTTTTATAGTATCTGTGCAAGCCAGTGCTTTGGAAGGCCTTTCTCCTGTGTCTGCTCAGTCATTCCCATGTGAAATCCCCCCCATGAGTCACAGCAGCTGCTGGATCAGACACTCCTTACTTCCCAGAAGCTTTTCCACCATTCTCTCCGCTCCATGCTGCTAGGTGACTAAACAATTACAAGTAACCTCTGTCATTCCACATGCTAGTATCAAAGTTATCATACCTCATGCTTCAAGGCGTTAGCTGATGGCCAAAAGGAGCAGGAGGAGAGTTCTTCATGCGTTTGCAGTGTCTCATAATTCAAGTGCTGAGGTGCTGTTTGGTTCTTCAAAACCAAGCTCAGACCCTGGTGGCCCTCTGAAATGGCAAAGGTGACACAAACTCCAGCAGCATGGACGGTCCTGGAGGCAAACAGCAGGAGAGAGGGAATTCAGAATGGAGTCAGAGGAAGCAAGGGAAAGGACAGCGAAGGCATGCAGGCGTTTTGGCGATGCTAGCTAACGAAAGTGATTCCGTCTGTGTTTGAGGCAGACAGATATTGGCAGGGGAATGGGATCTCTGTACACATAAGTAATTATTTTAGACATAATATCAGGGTAAATAGCACACAAAAAGATGTAGCTCAGTTTCTTGGCTTGGTAGGCAAACTGGGAAAACTTGTTATAAA